TCTGCCACACCCCTGATCTTCTGGTAGGAAAGATCTACACCTAGCCTTCTCGGACAAGGGCAAAAAATCTCGGAGGGCCCATGTGCAAGTTGCGCTCGTTAAAGATCCCTTGATGGTCTAAAATCGATAAGAGTAGGCTTCGGCCGCCACCCGTGCAAAATTCAAAATTTCGTACCAACTGAAAATATTAGGTGTGTTCCGTGCGCTCATATGACCTTATGCAGTTGCGAGCGCCGTAAAACTACGGTCATATGAGCGCAATGGACATTTTCAGTTGGTAGGACATTTTGAATTTTGCCCGGATGGCGGCCGAAGCCTACTCTTGTTGTGGGTGGTTGGAGGGCACCACTGATAGTTCCTACTTCATTTCTTTCCTTCTGTTGTTTCTATCTATTTAGTCCCGTCTGCTTTCATTTCCATTTTCTGCCCCCCCCCACCCCCCCTCCCTTGCACTGAATGGCTATTATTTTGTTGTAGTACGTGTCTTTATTCAACAACAACTAAAAAAAATACCAAAAAACACCCAAAGACCACCCATCTGAAAGTCATAATATCAGTGGTAGCTCTGACCAAATCTTGTTTTTCCCAACACAGGTGCTGTCCATCTTTGCCTTTGCCACCACAACCAGCCATGAGACGTCGACCACCTTTAACATTAACTGCACAGCAGTGCCCCACCATGAGGTGGCAGGAGAGAAGTCTGTCACCTTTACCTACAGTTACTCCTATGAGTAAGTGTTTTACTTTTTTCTATAGTGTTTTCTTTATTTATAGTCGCCCATAGAAAACAATCAGGAAAAAAACCAATACAGTTTCTGGGACTCTTGAATAGAAATAAAGGCCTTGAACATATGGCTATCACTGGCAAAATCAAAGGTAAACCAGGCAGGGGTAGCCCCAGAGCTATTTACTTAGAGAGCCTTAACAGCTGGGTGATTAGGGGGGGGGGGGTAGAGGAGATCGGGATAATGTAGCCTTTTTGACTGCATCTGAGCAAAGGAATGAATGGAGAACCATGATTGCTGATGTCTGTTTCTGATCAAGCACTTAATGAGGATGATAGTCCAGCTACTGTGATATCCAGTGCACACATATGTGGTTATAATCTAATCCAGTAAGATTTGAATAAGTTTTTTCTATGGCGAGCTCTGCCAGGAAGGCAGGAAAAAAAGGCAGTCTATAACTGCACAACAAGGACATCTGTAAAGTAGTCAAAGGCTACTTGAAGATCTATAACATAGATGACTCTGCCTAGGAAATAGATTCCATGAATCATCCAAAATGACATGAGACAATTCAGTGATCCAGGGCTGCAGTGGAAGAGAATAGCCAATGTTCGAAAATTCTCTCAACACCAAACATTGTAGAATATCGCCATCAGACTTCCAGTGTCTAAAATATGGAAGCTATTGTACATCCAAAACAGGCCTAGTGGCCCATATACTTTCACATCTGGCTTACACCACAATCACAGTCATCATCAATATTGATGGACAGCCGCAGAAAAGAAAGGGAAATAATGGTCTACAAAATAGGAGTGACTGCGTCGACAAAATTGTCCCAGTTTTGTCACAAGCTTCCAGTAGTGCAAGATGAAGTGTGCCTGTTTTTGCGTCTCAATCAGATCGGATTTGTGACAACTACCAATCAAAAAGTGACTACGTAACAAATCCAGGTCAGAGTTTTCTGCAGACAGGGCACAGCCTTTGACACAACCCCGACTTGTTGACTTGTACTGCATATGTGATTTCTCCATGTGTGCAACCAAGTATACTTGGCATAGGCCACAACCAATTAGTCTATTGAAGCAAATCAGAGATCAAGTTTAACAAAAGTGCATAAGCCAGCATCTCTTCACAAACTGGCCAGACCTCTCTATGAATAATTTGGACAAGGTTCCCACATCCAAGAAATTTTGATAAGTCTAATTTTTTATTTTTTTAAAAGAAGAATGACTGTTCAGACTTCTCTGCTGTTGTTGACCTCCTGTGTGGAGAGGCACTGCGTGGAGTGTGCTACTTTGCTCTACTAAAACTAAACTAAAACTGACGGTGGGTTTGTTTGTTTGTTTTTGACGTTTTGTTGGGGGGGGGGGGGTTAATGTAGGTGTTTTGCTCCCCTATTAACCTAATCTAAATCATTTGAGGGGCAGACTTCAATCCTGCCTGTTGGGGTCAACTTGGGCAGAGAGGGATACAATGTCCCAGCAGAGAGCAGAGACCAAGATGGGCAGACCAGGTCACAATCTTCCAACTCTGCTTTTACCAAAACAAACTGAAACAGCAAATATGCTCCAAATGTTAAGCCAGAGACACACTGCTCTGTCATTGTGGCCAAGAGAACAGCTACCATATCGTGCAACACAAAGAGCACAGACATGGCATTATGAATCACCTTTCGAGAGAAAACGATATGGCATCCTCAAAGGTCTAAAGTGGACTGCACAGTTTGTGGGCACCACCAGATTGACTGAAAATACTTATAAAAATCCTTCCGGTATGGGAATCGAACTAGGGTCTCTTGCTTGCAGTGGTGAAGCCCCTAACCACTACACCACAGACACCGGTGTCTCAGCTGTAACAGCAGAGCCCTCTTCTCTAGAGAAAGGCCATTGCCATTATGCCGATTTCTACTGGTGGAGTAAGTGCCTGGTGCTATTTCTGTCAGTTTTCATTAGTGGTTAGTTGGAGGTGCCTCTGATAGGCCTTACTTATTTACTTTCCCTCTGTTGTTTCTTCCTGTCTGTGTGTCCCTGCAGTAAGCGACCGTTATTGTGCCAATGCGCTTCTCTTTACTTTACTCAAACAAGCAAACAATTGATTGGTTTCTGCTCTCTGTTGTTGCTGATTTGGGGGGGGGGGGGTTATTGTTTGTTTTGCATAATTTCTGTCTGATCTTCTGACTTGCAGAAATGCAGACTGATTGTGTATTTTCAGTATAGAATGTTAGTAGCGTCAGTGGTCTAATGGATAGGCTACTGGACTCATAATCATGAGGTTGCGGGTTTGGGGGATTGAGCCTCAGGCCTGACGTTATGTCCTGGTGAAAGGCATTTTACACGAGTTTTCCTTCCTTCACCCAGGTGGGAATGGGTACCTGACATAGACAGCGAAAGATCTTGTCAGTATGTTAGGGGCTGTTAAAATAAAATCTCACACCTTTTTGGCCCCCCCTACACTTTTCTTACATTTGCCTCGCCTTCCCCAAATCCCGTAATATTACATTGTTCGCTTTTGATAATAAGGACAATACTAAAATAATAATCATAATAATGTGACATCTATATCACGCAAATCCGTGTTACAATCATTGTTCCAATCGCTTTACATAGATCTAATATTCATGACAAACATGCATACACACATACATACATACATATGTGCAGTTCTACATTCATTAAAAATAACAGTAAATCATTCAGGCAAAATATTGCATACACACTTTCTTACTAATAAGGAAAAAATTGAGACTCATGTCAGTGTCAAATGCGCCTTCATTACTCTTAGGTCATATGAATACTTATACGGGATGGTTAAGAATGAAGAATTTTGATGGATGATGGTTAAAAATTACCTTCTGTATCTTTCTTTGCTACAGATCAGAAGCCTAGGTATTTTACTTCTGACTGATGTTTTTATTTGAGGGAACAAGGGGTGTTTGTTGTCTAAAAAGATGGAATTAATTTTCTTTAGTGCTAGCTGTTATGTACAATTCATCCAAGTAGGGGAATGTAGGCCTAGATGTTGAAATTTTACATGCTTTCCGTATTAGTCAATTTCACGTCATTCTAGAAATCTAAAGGTCTCCAGTGAAAATAAAAATTACACAGTTTTATCTGCAAAATATGTTTTAGAATGGGCGAGGAAAGAACTCTAAACTGATTTTTTTAAAAGGATAATGCTTTATTAGAAATCCCATCAAAATCACATCCACTCTATGAACTCTGAATAAAGGGAACATTTTATAATGCCTCAAAGAGCTTGTGATTGTATCAGTGTTTCATTCAAATGAACTCCAGGTTGTATGCAGATATAACTGTGTCACTCTGAGTTAACAAAATAAGAAATAATATACCGACAAAAATACATAACATTTTACGTTTCTTCAGAACGTGAATCCTCGGAATCAAAACTTATATCTGAGTCTTGCGAATAAAGCACTGGTTTGTTGTTACTGTCATAAGCCTCATCATTGAACAAAAGAGTCGTGCCTTGAGCAGAAGTAAGCAAAAGTCTTCGTCTTGACACCATTCAATTTTTGCTGCCTTTTTTTTTTTATTGTGGGTTGTTTTGTTGTTTTTTTTTTTGGGGGGGGGGGGGGGGGGGGACAACATTTATGTCCAATCAAAAACACATTTCTGTGTGGATTTTATTGAAAAACTTTCATCAAAGGCACATTCATTGTAAATTTTCAGTTTCCAGACACTCTCAAGCCACTGAACTTTGGCAACCTTTTTCTCATTAGTTTTACCTGATAGCAATAACCCCCACCTCCTTCAATCGCAAATATCTCGATTTCTATTCAAGATAGATGAGTATTTTTTTTTCACCAAAAACAAGATTAATAAACACACTTTAAGATTACCCAAAATTGACGAATGCCTGATTTCATCGGGCACAAAACAATTCTTCTCTTGCATATATAGAACTTTGTAATCTGAAAAGATCTTCCAGTATTCTGATAAAACAACCTAATCATGTGAATATCTTGAAAACAACTCTGAATAGTCTTACAATTTTGATAGAACAGACACAACATTTGGTTTCACATCTCATGGTCCTAATACATTGTAACTCAGGCCAAAAATGTCAAATAGAACTTTGTAATTCTGTAGTGGCGAAATGTCAAAATGGATATCATCCACTCTGTGACTTTTTCCTGCGGAAGAGGATAGGTGGACCCCGAGGTCTACCTAGCGAAATATTAGGTTTTAGGATAGGTGGACCCCGGGGTCACAGAAGTGAAATAGATAGGTTTAAGGATTGGTGGACCCCAGGGTCAATAGTGAGATAAGTAGGTTCAATTTAAACTAGGATTAGTTGACCCCGCAGTTACTATACTGAAATAAGTAGGTTTAATTGATAAGGATTTTGTTTGTTTGTTTTTGTAAGTGTTTTACGGCGCTCGCAACTGCATAAGGTCATATGAGCGCGCGGGACACACTAAACTTTTTCAGTTGGTAGGAAATTTTGAATTTTGCCCGGGTGGCGGCCGAAGCCTACTCTTATCGATTTTAGACCACCAAGGGATCTTTAACGTGCACAACTTGCGCACGGGACCTCCGAGATTTTTCGCCCTTGTCCGAGAAGGCTAGGTGTAGATCTTTCCTACCAGAAGATCAGGGGTGTGGCTGAAAGACAGCAGTAAGAAGAAGCCAATGAGTAGCAGTAGAAAGGCTGCAGAAAGAATCAGGAGCCCAGAGGAGGGGGCAAAGGAGGTGAAGGGGTGGGAGGCAGAAAGAGGAGACGAAAGCAGAAGACAGAACATTGCTGGAAAGTAGGAAAAGAGACTAATTTAGAGAAGAAAATTCTTTGGTCGCTACCCGGATTCGAACCCGGGACCTTTGAATGAGAGGCGAACACCTTAACCTCTAGGCCACGAGAGCCCCCATTGATAAGGATTGGTGGACCCTGGAGGCACTATAGTGAAATAAGTAGGTTTAATTGATAAGGATTGATGGACCCCAGGGTCATTATCCTAGTGAAATAGTAGGTTTAAATTAAAGATTGGTCCTCCTTAATTAAACCTACTTATTTCACTACCGTGACCCCCTGTCCTAAAAAAACCTAGTAGACCCCGGGGTCCACCTATCCTAAAACCTAGCGTTTCGCAAGAAAGACCCTGGGGTCCACCTATCCAAGAACATGGTACATTGCTATCCTCTTCCTTGTCCTACTGCTATTGTCATGAATTTTAGGTTTCTTGATTATTTAAGTAGGCCTATAGGTTAGAGATACATTTTTCAAGCAAAATTTCAATCTTAATTCAAACTACCATATTTAAGAGCTATGAATACTATGATTTTATGCTTTCTGCAAGTTGGGTCACCCGAGAATACCACCGGTTGATCAAAATATATTTCTGAAATTTGTCTATCATTTCTTACTGTCACCTTTGGATTGTCCCACCCCTGAACAAACTTTTTATTTTTAGATACTTACAAAAATAGATAACCTGAGGTGACCCCAATTAGTGGGTGGTAATTGGTATGCATAATTTATTTCTGTTTTTCTCACGGGAATAGATAGAAACTGTCTACCTGTCAACATTGTATTGACATATTTGGAGTTCTGGGCTCCTTTTACCTGTCCCATCATTTAATTAGTGTCTTTATTTGTGTAATTTTTGCATAGTTTATTGACAGGCTGAAGTTCAGTATAAACTCATTTTTGATGGGCGATTGTTTTTTTGTTTTGTTTTTGATAGTTGTTGGTTTTTTGTTTTTGTTAGGGGTTTTTTGGGGGGGAGGGGGGGTAATGGTTATCTTCCCTTATCGTAAATGAACTGCGAGCACTGTCTTCAGTGTTGTTATTTTGTATTTGCTTTTGTATAAAGACATTCTGATTGTTCTTTTAAATTTCCAAATGTATGGATATCATTTTGTTCTTTGTGCCTTGTATCCATTTTAAAGTAACTTTTTATCATGCGCAAGTGTGTAAATTTAGCTTTGACTCAAGGCACACAAAAAATAGATTGTGAGATGGTTTTCTCAGTATGTCTGTTGTTCAAACCCGCCTCCATTGTTCTCATGTCATCATAGACGTTATGTTGTGAGAGCCATGAATTTTTTTTCGATCAGGCTTCTGTAAAATAAGTTCAGTCCTCTGCAAACTCATTTCTCACCTAGCAACTCTTTTGAACCATGAATTTTTTTCTCAGTACTCTTCTGTCCTCTACAAAATACCTTCAGTCCTCTGCACTCTTTTTTCACTGAGCAACACTTGCTTTTGCAATAATAACAATAATGACTTTTCTACTTGATGTGTTTATTAGATATTTTATTTCTGGAAGGTGCTTCTCGTACGTTATGAAGGTAAGGGTATAGAATGGTTGATTTATCCAGGCAAAGTTGAATTGTTTCTAGAGTTAATTTTCTAATATCTCCTGGGAGGAAAATTTATTGCAATTTTGCATGCAGCTCTATGAACGGATTGTGAAAAGCTCTACTTTACTCTCAGTTCACTGCCTACTCTAAGAAATGATAAATGGGGGATGAAAAATAAAAGGAATTTTTTTAAACTCTGAAATGCCTTGAGCTATTACAAGAGCAATAACATTTTGTGGTCAGAAATACTCGTGGTCTGTGGGCTGTAGTTTGCAGACAATGACTGTCCTACTTATTCAACTGGTACTCACTTGCCTTTATTCATTTTATATCAGCTTGGAGGATGTGTGCTTCCGTACGCCCATATGCAACAATACGAAGACCGGTGAGATGTGCCTGCTGTCTGGCTCAGAGTCCTCAGCCCAGTTTTACGTATTCGTTGGCGTCATTGTCTTCTTGTACTGCCTGGCTGCTCTGGTCCTCTACATCTTCTTTGACGAGCTGTACCGCCGCAACACCAGGATTGTCATAGTGGTATGTACTGCTGTAGAAAACTAAAAGCACTTTTTATAACCATGCATGGAGGCTCAGTAGCTAACAAGTATAGTGTTCACATGTTAACGTTGATGTTGAGAGTTCAATCAGCATTGGGGGTTTTTTTCTGATATTTTCTACACCCTCTTATTCGACCGCTTTGTCTTCTGGGACAAGGTTAACAAAAAAAATTTAGGTTCTGTGAGGAAATTTCCCATGTGAAAGTTCCCTTGGCAACAGATTTACTGAAATTTTTAAAAATTGGTCCTTCGGACCATTGTCCACGCAAAATTGAAAATTAATTCCTACCCAAAACGAGTAATTATTAGAATGGCACATGGATCTCAGTTTTATGCAGATAAACAGTTGTGTCCATAAAAATCAACTACGCTGTGAGATACCACTGTTGCTCCTACTTCTTTACTTTAACTTTTTTCTTTTGTTTTTGTTTAAATGGCTGTTATTGTGTTAATGTGCAACTTTTTTACTCAACTCAAAACAAACTATAGATGTAATTGTAAGTTTCTATTTCTCTGTATTTCTATGTCACTACGATGGGTTTTTGTTATTCTTGCTGTTGACGTCTTTGTGAGTTTTTGTTTCTCTGTGTGATGTCACTGGAGATGTCACTGCAAGTTTCTGCTTTTGTACAGATTTATGTCAGTGTTTTTTTTTTTTGGGGGGGGGGGGGGGGGGGGGGGGGTCACTTTCTCTGTTGTGGGTTTCTTCCCTTCTTTCCTATCAAACATCTGTCATCTTTATGTATATTTCTTCTTTCTTTTTTGTCTTTGCTACTTTCTTGTAACACCATTAATCTTCAGCACTCTTATGACCTTATTATGTTGCAAGTACAGGAAAACTCTTACTCACACTAAAAATAAATGTCACTTTGAGTTTCTGCTTTTGTATAGACATCACTCTGAGTTATTATTTCACTGAAGACATCACTGTGGGTTAATGTTTCTGCAAAGACATCACTGTGAGTTAATGTTTCTACTGTAAAGACATCACTGTGAGTTAATGTTTCTACTGTAAAGACATCACTGTGAGTTAATAATAATAATAATATAAAACATTTATATAGCGCATTTCCAGAAAAGTAGCTCAATGCGCTTTACATTGGAATACCCATTTTTCAAAAACCTTTCTTACTACTTCCTTTCTTCTCATGCAATATACATTAATACACACACACACACATACACACACACACACACACACACAGAGACTATTTTCATCCAGACATAAGAACAGAACAAATATAATGAAAGATAACGTTAAAAGCTTATGAAGGATAGGCCTGTAGGAACAGAAAATGTTTAAGATGTCTTTTGAAGCTATCAAGTGTTCTTATTTGTCTTAGTTTCATGGGTAATCTTTTCCACATAAATGGACCAAGATATGAGAAAGATCTCTCTCCATATGATTTGTATGATTTTACAGGTGTCACAAGTAGGGTGTTATCGTTTGATGATCTTAGGTTTCTCCCTGGTTTATATATACTGATAAGTTCTTGTAGATAAAAAGGAGCAGTTTTATTTACACATTTGAAACACATGACGCAGATTTTAAATATTATTCATTCTTTTACAGGGAGCCAATGCAGTTCTTTTAATAATGGAGTGACATGGTCTCGTTTTTTAGATCTTGTTATCAGTCTAGCGGCATTGTTTTGAATTACTTGTAAACGATTCAAATATTTGTTGTTCAGACCTGCTAGGAGTGAGTTACAATAGTCTAATCTAGATAGGATAAGAGATGTTACCAGTGTTTTTGTGGTCTCTTCGTTTAAGTACTTTCGAACTAGGCCTATCCTTCTCAGCTGAAAATAAAGGGATTTGGACAGAGATCCTACAAACGAGCCCATTGATAAGTGGTGGTCAATATATACACCGAGATTCCTGACAACTTCTTTGCTAGATGTCATATGCCCATATAAATTAAAGTTGACACTTTCCAGATCTTTATTTAATCGTGGATTTTTTATTTGTTTACTGTCATCCACTTTTTGATTTCATAAAAACATTGTTTAGTGATGGAAATCATGTTTGATAGATCTTGAATGGTGCCATTAACATACATTTGGGAGTCATCGGCATAAAAATGATAATTCAATCCATGATTTTGTAAAATGCTTGCTAAGGGCTGTGTATATAGTGTAAAGAGCACTGGTCCAAGAACGGACCACTGTGGAACTCCATAATTGAGCCTGACCTGCTTTAAAAAGTTAATGTTTCTACTGTAAAGACATCACTGTGAGTTAATGTTTCTGCATCAATGTCATCACTGTGAGTTAATATTTCTACTGTAAAGACATCACTCTGAGTTAATGTTTCTGTATCAATGTCATCACTGTGAGTTAATGTTTCTACTGTAAAGACATCACTGTGAGTTAATGTTTCTACTGTAAAGACATCACTGTGAGTTAATGTTTCTACTGTAAAGACATCACTGTGAGTTAATGTTTCTGTATCAATGTCATCCCTGTGAGTTAATGTTTCTACTGTAAAGACATCACTGTGAGTTAATGTTTCTGTATCTATGACATCACTGTGAGTTAATGTTTCTGTATCTATGTCATCACTGTGAGTTAATGTTTCTACTGCAAAGACATCACTGTGAGTTAATGTTTCTACTGTAAAGGTAACATTTTGAGTTCTTTCTGTGTAGATGACTGTATGAAGATGTCTATGTGAGTTCCAGTTCTGTATAGAAGTCGAAGTGAGTAGTTTCTATGTCGATTTGACTTTGTAATTACTCTTTTGCTATGGTATCCCCAGGATTTTGTGGTGTCTGTGGTGCTGACCCTGCTGTGGATCATTGGCTCCTCCGCCTGGGCCTCGGGCGTCTCTGACGTGAAGATGTACACGGATCCTGACGAGGGCAGCATCTTTGACAACCTGGCCGAATGCAAGAATGCTAATGCCAACTGTCGCACCGTGAATGATGGCAACTTTGCTAGCCTTAATGTCTCCATTGTGAGTAATTTATGTCAGCTGTCACACATAGGCCTGCACGTTTCATCAAAGCATTCACTATGAAATTAATCAGACTCTCAATCAACTGCCTTTCTGTGAATGATGACAGCTTTGTTAGTCTCATGTTTTTGCAAGTGGTCTTGATAAATGAATCAATGTGCTTTTTTTTTTGTTGTGGTAAGTGTTTTAAGGTGCTCGCAACTGCATTACGGTCATATGAGCTCGCGGGACACATTGAAAACTTTCAGTTGGTACGAAATTTTGAATTTTGCCCAGGTGACGGCCTGGGAGTATGAAATATTTACTAACAATTATGATCATGTCATTTCTCTGTTTCCAGATCTTCGGTTTCCTGAACTTTGTGGTGTGGGTGGGAAACCTATGGTTCCTGTACAAGGAGACTCCCTGGTTCAAAGTGCAAGCCAGGCCTCCCAGCACTCCAGGTACTGTCAGTGAGAACGACCCACAGAAGGTTTAAGTGGTGGGGTACGACTCGTCGACCAACCAACTCTTTCCTTCTTCTTCTCTTCCTCTGCCTTCTCTGTCGCCTCTTCCTCTTCCTCCTCCTGCCCGCACACACAGCACTACTTATTCTTTGTGCATGTACATACATGCTTGGCATTACACACTCATGCACACACCCACACACACACACACACACACACACACACATACACACAGAAACACGTCTGCATACGTGTTGTGCACTCCTCCTGGCTGATCCTTTGATTATGGGCAGGTCTTGAGATGTGTGAGGAAGCACAGTTTTGTGTATGTGTGTGTGCGTGTGTGAATGTGTTTGTTTGTTTGTTTTAGTAGCCATTACTACTTATATATCTCTACTTGCTTGTGGCTGACTGGATTTAAAGCGCCTTAAAATGTCTGCATGAGGGACAAGGAAGCGTGTGTATGCATATATATGGGTGCAAAGCATGTGCTGCTGAACAACTTGACAAGCATAAAAACTTTTCCTTGTGAGATATGTGATATGTGGTGACTTGTGGATGTTATCATTTATTTTTAGTGAGAATATCTCCTTATGTACAGATGTGTACATATATGATATACGTTTATGTGTTTACTTTGTATGAATGTTTGGATGTTAGTAACCATCAGTGTATAAATATCAACGGTGAAAGTTGCAAACCGTTTAAGTCCTGAAACACTACTTGTGAGATAACCACAAAAAACTGTATATATGTTGTTTTTACCCACTTATTATTGTATTTTAAACTCTGACAATAATAGAATGTTAACTTTGTATAATTATGTAATTCTTAAGGCTAAATTTTGGTTTACATTCTATAAAATCAGACTTACACGTTTTGCGGTCTCAAAATTGACAGCAACATACACGGTTAGGGAGATGCACGGTTTAACTAAGTCTTTCTCTCATGTAAAATTTAGAGTTACACGAGCTGCGCCTATGTTAAAGTTAAAATTATGTTAATTAAATGAATAATTTCAATTGATGTTCCACACGGCGCACGGGCAGTGGAATTTTAGTTGCCGCGGGGGGTTCCCCACCGTGCGCCTTATCACGTCGGGGTCATGGGGGTCAGCTCCCTGTCGCCGCTCTGTCTGGGCTGACTTAATTTTTGGTACTTTTCAACCTACAATTTTAGGTGTATCCTTGTATTTATGGTAATTATCATTTAGTGCACCCAAAGCACACATTTCTGCTCTTGAGACTCAAAAAAGAACGGACATTGTAACTTGTCTGGTTATTTCGTTAGACGCGCTGGAGTCGGCAATGCTAAATTGTTGGGGTTTTTTGACTAGAGTGAATGAAAAAAATCAATATAAAAAAAAAGGCCTCGACAAAATCTTTAGAACTTTTGGAACATGAACGACACAGCATTGGTGCAGATACTCAGAAAAGATGGTATCTGCGCATATAATAGAAAGCTGTAATTTTGTAACTTTATCCATCGGGCACACAATTCGCTATGAAGTAATTCCTCCAAATACAACTTTATGTGTCTAATATAATCGTGAATATTCGCATATTTTCTCAAAAGTTTATAAAAGTTACCATGAAGTTTTTCTATGAAAAGTACAAATCGATTTTAGTGCCAGAATACATCTTCAATGTAATACACGAACAGTATCTGCTACACTCCAGAAATTCCTTACTTTTATTAAAACGCTAAGTCTATGTTTTGTAAGTTGAGTGAATAATAGGGATGACTTCTCGTAATTGGGTTATAAGAAGTATTTCTAGCTTTTCAGGGACACTGAATCAGCACCAGACTTTTCCAGCTTTATTTTTCGTTTCTATGACCATTTGCAATAACTGAAAATGTGACTGCATTTCTTTACATTCATAATTGTGTCCGCGCATATTTCCGACACAAAAACTAAGAATGAATGTGTTAGCTGTCATTATTTTTATTCCATACAAGAAGTTTATCTCTACCCATGTATTTACACGGTTTTGTGGGATTTCTTAATCGCTTATGTTATATCTTTTTAGTTGTATGCAGGCTGCCACAGACACAGCATGATTCATGAACAACCACAGAGTAACTTTCTCTTGTTTAATAGTATAATAAGAGCTAACGCTGATCGTCTTTAGTTAAAAAATGCAGATGTGCATCTTTCTTCTCTTATAACTTGACTATTAATACTTGCGCAGATTTAAGATTTCTCATGGTAAAAGACACGATATTCGTAGTCAGTTTAACACAGATTTTGGAGAGATCTGTCGTGCCTTTTTAAAATTAACAATCATGTATTCATAAGTTTGTAACTAAAATAGGACAAATTGGGTACTCTACAAACACTTGTCTAGAACAAAAACTAAGGCACAGAAATTAACCATTCTAATGCAGAATAAATATCAAGACTTTGAGCTTTTAGTAATTGTTTGCTGTGTGGGATGGGGAAGAAATTATATCGTTTTAAACATATTCAAAAATGCGAACTTCCTAACCGACACTGGCAGCGTCGCTTCAGGGCTCATTAACCCAGTGACTCTGAGCCGGGGAGCTCCGGCGGGCTGCTGAGTCATGCTAACTAAAGGTAACAGAATCAGGCGAAAAGTGATGCCATGTCCAGGATTTTGTCAATAAACAATATAGAAATGTAAGAAGTAATTTTTTATTTTGGGAAAGGATGGGTCTACGTTATGGTGGTTTAATGTCAAGTCACTTTCCTCGGATGATGGATGTCCAAGGTTAGAATCTTTGTTTTTGTTTGTTTTAGTAAGATTTATGGCGCTCACAACTACATAAGGTCAAGAGCGCCAAGAGGAGGATTTCAACAGAGAAGTCCAAATGGAGAATCAGGCTTACTCTGCTCACCTCTCTAGCCTCAACAGCACAAAGTCTGTTTCGACTACCAAGGCACCCCGTAAATAAAAGTTTACAAGAGAGTGACAAACATACAAAAGAAAGGAGTGGAGGGAAAATGACGATAAAGATGAGAAAAGAAAAAGCAGCTGTTCTCCCTATGTTGTTCCGGCTCAGTATAAACATGTTATTGATAAATCAGCCCATTTACAATTCTACTGTGCATAAGAACATGTTAGTATCCCCCCTTTGGGAATGGCCTGAAGACAACTTCAGTCAGTAGCCTTGCCGTGGTGGGGGGGCTAGATTTAAACCTAAAGCGTGCTCACTGGGTAACTACCAAATCTTAGGTATAAAGGAAGGTTACCAATGACCAAGCAAGACACAGTTACCAATGACCAAGCAAGACGCAACGTGTTACTCCTTCAGACTCATTCCAGACACAGATTGACACATAACAACACGCATGTGAGAGTTAAAGACGTTGAATTTGTGGACTTAGAAGTTTCGTTTTGTCCAGCATGGACGGCTGAGTATTGATCGACAGACCGATACGGTATGCTCTGTCAATATAATATATTGAGGTTCAGTAGGGATACACAGGCTGCTCATGTGACGATTACACGCATTTTCATTGGTTATTGTGTCCTTAAATCAAAACAGAACATGCTTTGTAGCTCTATGATTATAAATATAGCAAAAAAAACGATTTTACTATTTTAAGACTTACACGGTTTGCGACTCTCACCGTCGATATGTGAATGGACGGGATGTGAAGTGTTCATTGGTGGGTATACATACACCTTTTGTGTCTATTTATATGTTTGTATGTATGTGTTTGTAAAAATGGAATGGTGGGTTGTTTGGTTAGTTTTTTTAAGGAGGGGGGGGAGGAGAAATAGGCAGGCAGATCATTGGAAAGCAATTGGGAAGAGCAAAGATCATCTATGTCAATATATAAGGAATACAAGGTTACCATATGTCTTCCCTTATTTTTGTTCAAACTAAATTTACCAGTGATCAGACACACGGTGCTACTTGATAGACTGATAGTCTTTTGACAAGCACTCAAACATGTCTGATATTCACAAATCTATTTATAAGCAATAGTCGAATTACAGTCCTTTTCTTTGGAAGTGGTTTTGCAAATAGTTTTAGCTTTACTTTCACAAAAATGTCTCTTAACACCGTATACATCTTTTATTACAACTCCAAGTGTAGAAAAGTAGATGTTATAGGAGTTTCTGCAGACTGAATTTGCTGAGTGAGCACAAGTTTGTTTCTTCGACTTCGAGCTCTGCAATTCCTAGTGATTTGTTGTTCTAGAATAACAAGAATATATTTAATGAAATGTGAGTGAGCATTTGTAAATGCTTCCCTGGAAACAAGGAAAAATCAATGAACCAGCTTGAGATCCACTTTATCTGAGTTCTGGAAAGAGTGCAAATTTAAGATTCTTTCATAGGTTGATTTTAATGTTTTGGCCTGTTGTAGATAGCCTTGCGAAGAATTATAAGAGTCTATCACAAGGGAGTTGGAAGAATGTGGATTTGTTTGTGTGTTTTCTGTTTGTTTTTATGTGTGTGTATGCGCACTTGTAACTGAGAGTGAACACCTTACTAGTGATGTTGTGACGGAGAGCTCAGGGTTGTCAGCACTGCGGATGTTCTCAGATAGTCTGAGACATGTGTGATGCATGCCTGATTTAACTGATATGCTGCTTTAATGTCATTCCTATGCTTTCTCAAAGCCTGAAGTTTGTGCAGACTTTCTGTAATATTCACAGACTCTAAAGCTGAACTGTAAGCTGCTTGATATGTACTGATACCCACCCACCTGACAACTGAATCATCAACCCTTTCATGTCTGTGTGGTCATTGTGATGTCATCTGACATTAATCAACTTGACCATTTTTCTCTTTCAGAGGGCTTCTCTGCATGCTGATTGTGTTGTACTGCTTGTCAGTGTTAACTGTTTTTGCTTGTGCAACTGTGAAAGTGGATGAAAAGTAGGAGAAAAAAAGAAGAGAAGGAACAACTGAGTACCCCAGCTGTCTTCTCGTTTGAATTCTTTTGTCCTTTAGCATCTTTTTATAGAATTTTCAATGCTGGCTGTGCTTCTGTCCTGTTTCTGTCTGTCATCTTAATTTTCTCTTACGTCACTTTTTGGCACTTACATAACCAAAACTGTGTCGATAGTGCAGTAAAATATCTACTCAGTCATCATTTTCTCACACTCTGAAGTAACCATGTCTTATTTTTTCCTTCACCGGTACTCAAAACAACAGCATCTCTTCATAGGCTTAGTTGTGATTTCGCTTTTCTGTTCCAGCTCCGGATGTGTCGGTCATTCCAAACTCTATCCCTGCCCCAGGTGCAGAAGGTGGGGCTGCCCCTTGAACGCTGGTCAGTTTGCCCAGTAGTGCGGCAGTCACTGACCCACCTCAATGGTCCTGTTTTGTTGCATTGTTTGTGCACAGAGCAGGATCGCTTGGGGCTACTGCTTCTTTCCTGCTAGCTGAAACTAAGAGGGCTTGAACTAAATTATGATACTTATTGCCTCAATGTTCTCGTAGACTCAGTCTTGTAGCTTTTTGTCTACAGGAACTTTAGAACTGTCTTTGTGCAAAGACAAGTATTCTATTTATAAAGCCAAATGTTTCATGAAATCTGTGCTGTATCATTGTTTATATCATCGTATCTGTAGAGCTTGTGACAATGTTTTCACGGTCCCTATTTGTTTGGTTTGGGCTTTTTTGTGGCCCATTTAGTTTGTCTTGTCCTAGATCTAGTCCTGTACTCGTTTAGAAATTGTATTGTTTTTTTATGGTCCCTTCATTCAAGTCTTTAGTTGCATTTACAGGTGCATTTTGCCTTTCTGTTTCCTTCTTTGGTCTTATTTTTCATCTTAGATATATGTTTTCATCTTTAAAGTTTTGCAGATTTTACTTTCCTTACAAGTGAAATAAAGACACAACTACAGTTATGTACAATCATACAAACAAGAATAAATTAAGTCTGTAAAGTGTCAGCTGAAAGCAGTTTATTCTCAAAAAGGGGGGGGGGGGGAGAGATGTCCCAGGGTCACTGCCTGTATATGTGTGTTGGATTTTTTAGACTGGCTAGATGAACATGAAAGCTTCCTATAGGGATTTCCCAACCTAGTAGGGTCAGGCTAAGCAGGGATAATCCGTAAAATCGAGGGAATTTCACATCTTTTTTGTTGTGTTTTTTACTGTCACATAGCAAGTATGTAAACAGGTGTTAGTTATGGAAAGTCAGTACAAATGTGACCACTTAATTATTAAAACGAAATTAAGAAACTGGGACAATAATAATTTGTAGCACCTCCCACACCTTTCTTTTTCTTTGTCACTCAGGTCCAATAGGAAAATGTTGTTCCTCTCAGTGTATATATCCGAGTCTTGCCTTGCGTCTAGTTACTTTCCCTTATTATCTCTATATTCTGTTTGTGCCTCAGTCATAGTGTTGTGCTACATCCCTGCTTGGCCCTTAGTGCTGTATCCGCTTCACTCCTCACCACGATACTCTCATCCTAGACATTACAGATCTACTTTTGTGTCCTGATACTGACAGTTTTGTCCTTTTTTTCCCCACGTACATGTTGTGTGATGATTTTGTGGGATATATATTATAAATATTTATGACTGAGGAGAAACCTCAAGTTATGTTTTGAGGTTGTGTGGGTTGATGTTTGCAGGTTCTTCAGTTTGGTCTGCTTGCTCCATTTCTTTTTTATTTGATCCTCCTCTATTCTTGATGTATTACTTGTAAGAATTTTGGTGTTATTTATGGTGCGGAGGAGCTGCAAATTCCACAACAGCAATAGTGTTGGTGTGAGAGTGTCAGAGGCTGTGACGTGTATGTAACCTTGTCATGTTGTTTCCCCCCCAGGCGAGGGCCCCGGTGCGGGGAATGTGTATTAAATTTATCCCCCCCTCCTGCGATGACGATGTCACATCTTTGATGTTTTTGTAAGTAACCGTGTCTAACGGACCTTCGACACCCCCCCCCCCCCCCCCCCCACCCCCCCACCTCATTAACAACCACCCCCCAAAACAAACCCCCCCCCCCCCCGCCTGTTTCCTTCTATCAACCAGAGGATCTCTCTGACATTCAGTTTTTATTCATTTTCAAAAATTTGTTCTCAAAATTTTGCTTAGGATTTTCAAGCACGTGCTTGGTTTTTTGTTTGTTCGGTGGCACCACACAGTTGTCTCTTCCCATGGCTGCTTACTTTCAACTTACGTGCTTGTCAATATTTTTTTACCCCTCATTCAACCCGAATTGTAAATTTATAAGACTTTGTTTATAATTGTGGAAAGTTACTGGGCTCAAGAGGTCACAAATTTTGCTTTCTCCCATTACGTATTTTGCACTTATTTCTAGCTGAAAATATTGGCATCCATTTCCCACCCACTGTGCTTAATAAAGATCCCATGAGATTATCCCCCATGTGGTGGGCAGTCTGTGTAAAACTCCTGGCCCGTGGATATTGTGTATTCTGAAGTGTCTCTCTGCAGTGTTTGTAGTTAATTGTGTGTTGTGCATAACACCAATGTGCATAAACAGTTGCTGTGAGATTACTGCATGAGATTTTGCCCGACTCCCTTGACTCTAATTCTAATGTTTTAATACTTAGTCGTCATCATGGGATTTGGCCAGGCTACAAGCCCAGGGGAGACTCGGCCAGCAATAATGACAGTTCTGTTACTCAACTCTACTTCTCGGTCTCGTAATGAATGTGTGTCCTACTGCTTTGCATATCACAGAGAAAGATGTCTTGGGGAATATTTTTACTTTTGACGTGGCGTTTGATAGCTAAATATTTGGAGATCCTGCTAATGTTTGTATGCTTTGAAATTTTTCCTGAAAGAGAGTGGATGGTTGGCGGGTGCTCTGGTGTGGTTTGCTCCTTCTTTCCTATCAAACATCTATCATTCTTACCTTCTTTTTTATGTTTGTTACTCTCTTGTAACACCTGTAATCTTCTGGCGCTCATATGACCTTATGCAGTTGCGAGCGCCGTAAAATTTCTACTAAAACTAAACTAAAAAAACTTAAAGAGAAGCATAAGTTTAAGATGATGTTTTAGGTCAGGTTTGCCCTCATTTTAGTTGTTGTCGCTTTGTAGAGCAGCTATGCACTGAGCTTCTTGTCCTGTGATGTGGTCTGCTTCATTCTAAGGTCATAGAAAGCACTTGCTCCTATGTTAATCTTCCTTGATGAAATTAAGCATATATTCAAACTGTAGAAGTGAAATTTTCCCATTTTGCTAATGTTTTCTTGAATACAAATTAATGAGCTTATTTTCTTTACCTGTAAAACTGAAAAAATCATTTCTTTTAGTTTTACATCACAAGGAAAATTCTAATAGACAAATCGTACCTCAAAATTCTAAAGTTTTATCAGCCCAGTAGGCTACCTAGTTTAGAGAAATTTGACGTAAAAAAATTTTGAGTTTCACAATATTTCAAGCTTATTTTAATGCATTTCTTTGAATATTTTGATAATGACTCCAAAAAATCTTACAATTTTGATAGAGCACATGTGGTTTCTGACTTCATGGTCTTAGTAACTCAAAACTGCCAAAAACGTCAGAAAGAACTTTGTAGTTCTAGGGTAGTGAAATGAGCACTCAGTATCATAATATCTGAAAAGACTGAACATAGTCTGTGACTTTAGCAGAACAGTATTGCAAGGTTTATTTGTTTGTGCGCTCATCCCTTTTTTCACTTCTTTTTTCATTATGTTTCTTCACTCTTTGATTTCTGCTTCAATTTCTGTTTGATTTGCGGGTGGTTAGTAGAGCTCCTACGTCTACTTTCCCTCTGTGTCAGTCTTACTTTTTCCTAGCACAAAGTTTAAGTGATCACATTGTGTCAGATGTACTTCTCTTGACTCAAACAAACAGTTTTTTGGGGTGAAATGGGTTTTCTTTCTCTTTTTTGATAACTTGTAAATGCCATCCTGTCCTTATCTAAAAGCACAGAGCAAGAATTATTAATGATTCTACAACAGTCCCGTTTTTACTGTTACTTAAATCTATTTTGGTTTAAAAAGATAAAAATAAACCATTGTATTGTTATTAACCCTTTATCCCTGAAAAAATTGTTTCCTGTGCTTTGGCAGGAATTTAATTTTGGTCTGTCAAAATAGAGCAAGGGCTCACTTACATAGTGATATAGTAAGCTATAATTTCTCGTCAAATTATGTTTCAACAGTGTTTTTTTATACCTCATTGGAATGTAAAATTATTAAGTAAACTACCAGGCTAAAATGTCCATCATGTTGTAATTCATGGCTATAATATAACACAAATTCAGTTTGAAAACAGAGTGCAAAAAAAATGTCAAGTTTTTTGTGAATCGTCAACAAAGTAAAAATATAAATTACTAAGAAATGTTTTTTATATGTGTAATTTATTCAATATACATTCACTTCTGAATTTGCATATCACTTTTCATTGTAAAAAAAATTATTATTCTCAAAGTTACAGCCATTTTTTGTGCAATCAGATAGGCTTGCAAATCCTTACCATACAGCCACAAACTGGAACAATGGCTGATTGAAAAACGGCTCTTTTCATTTAAATTATCAACAAGCCAATTGAACAGACCCGCTAGGAGAAAATCTAACATATCTACATATATGCGTAGATTTCTGGTCATACTATGAATATAATGGGTCATTATTTTCACTGTTTGTTTGGAAGTGAACTATCCCGTTCTTATCTGCCAGTGACACCAGCCACTTGGCAAAATGTGACCACTTCACTGGTGGGTTCCACCAGCCACTCAGACTCAGAGACAAGGGGTAAATCAAGTCATTACACTTTCATTGTAATATGGTTGCAAACTGCAATTTGCTTATAATAATTTCAAATTATAATGTTTTCAAACTTGGAAGGTTGAGATTAGTGTTTCCAAAGTAGTCCGTTCCATATGCTGTATCACTTTCTTTTTTGTGTTTAGTCCCCCTCCCGGTTTTCATTTTTTTATTTTTTTTTATTGATAGCAGAGGTTTGCAATTGACTCTGTAGCTTTGGTCAATTATTTTTATGTTCTTTGAACAATTTCCTTGACGAAAATGTATGACAAAGGAATGTTAATGTAGGTTTATTTCATTTGTATTATATAGCTTTGCAAAGAGAAAGTTTGTTTCATTTTTTAAGTGTCGCGACACAGTGGAATCAGGCGCTTGTCAATTTTTGGACATATGGAGTTACTGCTATCATATTGTAGCTTGTTCATTTGCTTTTTAAAAAAATGAAAATACTACCCATCTATCCTAAATAGAAGTCGAGATGTCTATGATTTGAGGGACAGGGGGGTGGCCTGGTGTCAGAGGTAAAATAGGCAACAAAGTGGCCACTAAAGTTGGGTGACTTTCAAAGCTTGAGGATGAGGGTCCTTGGAAACTGCAAATTTACATTTTCTGTGTCTTTGATAAATTCTTTTCAGTAAAATCCACATAGAAATTTGTTTTCAAGTTGCAATAAAAGGTAGGCAAAAAATATTTGTATAGAAATTGTCCAACGGGTGCAAAAATGTTGATTTTTTCGTTTCATTGTTTCGACGAGCATCTGATTTCACCACAATGACACATGTGAATTAGTGACATTTATATCCTCTTAAAGTGCTGGCTATAAATAGTGATGAGTCTAAGATTTAAACAAACTGAAGGTGATAGTATTTATGACTAGTTTTTAATTTGTACAAATGAAATGTGTCGTTGGAGGGTTATTACCTATTATTAAAAAGTTGGAAATGAGACTTTTTCCAGTTTTGCTACACATAAAATTCTGTGTGTGAAGTCTTTTGAATTCAAAGTATCTTGCAGCATTTCTGTGCATTTAGGGCTGGTGGGAAGATATCCTGTAAGTTCCCAGCAGTCCTCACTGCTCCTGCAGGCCTCTCTAATTGTATTTGTTGTGCTTTCACATGCATGCATGTGTTTGTGAGACCACATGTGCATCCATGCATACTTTCGTCATATTAATTACTAACAGTTATATTCTCACACAGTCTACATCATACAAAAGTTTTTCAATAAAAATGTTATTTAATTGTCTGCTATGACATTGAGTAAAAATGTTTATTTATAATTTTATGGAGATTAGGGAAAAAGAAATGTATTTCTTCTTCAGGATTGAATAAATATAGAGTAATTTATTCACCAGCAGTGAAATTTTAGTTGCAGCAGGGGGTTCCCCGTTGAGCGCCGTATCACGTCGGGGTCACGGAAATCAGCTCCCTGTTGCCGCTCCTTCTTGGTTTTTGGTACTTTTCAACTCAAAGTTTTAGGTGTATCCTTATACTTGTGGTAATTATCATTTGATGCACTTAAAGCATGCATTTCTGCTCTTGAGACTAAAAAAAGAAAGGATACTGTCACTTGTCTGGTTATTTCATTAGACGGGCTGAAGTCGGCAGTGCTAAATTGTGACATTTTGGGGGCAAGTGTGAATGAAAATAATATATATTTAAAAAACGGCTGGACAAAAAAATCTAATTTTTGGATCATGAGCGACATAACGTTGATGGAGATACTCACAAAAGATCATTTCTGCGCAGATTATAGAATTTAGAAAGCTGTATTTTTTTACCTTTATCCATCTGGCATCTGGCACACAACTTGATAAGAAGTAATTCCTTCATATACAGCTATATATGTGTCTGATACAATCGTGAATATCTGCATATTTTCACGAAAGTTTATTAAATTTACACTATGGTCTCTCTACACAGAAGTACAAGTCCCTTTTAGTGCCAGAATACATCTGCAAGGCAGTACGTTAACAGAATCTGTTACACTCCAGAAACTCCTTTCTTTTCGTAAAATGCTCAGCCTCTTGGTTTTGTAAGTTGACTGAGGAACAGGGGTAACTTATAGTAACTGGGTTTTCAGAATAATTTCTAACTTGCCAATGACACTGAATGATACCAGACTTTTCCCGCTTTTATTTCCATTTCTATGACCATTTGCAAAGACAGACAACGTTTTTATTTCTTTACATTCTTAAGTGCCTGGGCATATTTCCAACAAACAAACTAAGAATGATTGTGTTAGCTGCCATTGTTTGTATTCCATACAAGTAGTTTATCTCTACTCACCTCATGTATTTACACAGTTTTGTGTTTAAAAATATCGCATATCTTTCTTAGTTGTATGCAGGCTGTCACAGACTCAGCATAATTCATGAACAAACGCAGAGTACCTTTCTCTTGTCTATTAGTACGGCAAGAGCCAACGCTGAGTGTATTTTGTCAAAAAATGCAAATGTGCATCTTTCTCCTCTTATAGCTTGACTATTACTACCTGCGCATATTGAAGATTTTTTGTGGTAAAAGACATGATATTCGTGTCAGTTTAACACAGTTTTGGAGAACTGTTTTTAAATATACAATCATTTATTCATACAGTCGAACCTGTGTAAGACGGAATCGCAAGGGAGCCAGAAAAAAATTCCGTCATAGACAGGGGAATTTAGGGGGGGTTCAAAGGCCCAGCTGGTGGGATCAAGGATCGCTTGTTTGATCGGCAAGCAGTGGTCAAAATTTCACACCTCTCAATTGCTATCCTGTCTGATAATGATATGCGTCAGTCTTACTTATCCAATTACCACCAGTGCTTGCTTTTCAAAGGACCACTGTTTGACCTAAAACAGAAACGTTTGAACATCTCCTTTGCTTCCACCCTTAGCCCCCCACCCACCAGTGCCACCCCTCACTGCAATCAATGTAAAAACAATTTTCTCGGCTGGCCGTACGATCAGGGCGGCACGCATTGGTCAATCTAATTTCACACCTCTGGCTTCTGGCTACCCAGGAAAGTTTCCATGGTTGCTGGCTACTCGAGCACTCTCACTCACGGGCAGTCGTGAGATTTCACACCCACACTACACTGACCATGTGCATCGCTCAGGGCTCACATGATAGGGTAACATCTACCCTCATATTGCACCCCTACCAAAGATAGTAGGCCTACTCCCCTTCCTCGCCCAGCGGCACGGCCATACCATCAAGTTTAGAGCCGGTGCAGCAGGGCTGAGCGGGCAAAGCATTTTCCGTCTTAGGCAGGTGAAACCCTCAGAAGGGAGTGGATTTTTTTTTCCGTTTCCGCCTTGGACAGGTTTCCGTTTTATACAGGTACTTAAAGAGGAATATATCAAGGGGGGAGCGGGGAGATTCCGTTAAGACAGGTTTCCGTTTTACACAGGTTTCCGTTAAGGTAGGTTCGACTGTAGTTTGTAACGAAAAATAGGACAAATTCGGTACTGTACAAACACTTGTCTAGAACAAAAACTAAGACACAGAAATTAACCGTTCTAGTGCAGAATAAATCTCAAGACATTCAACTTTTAGTACGTCAGTGTAACGGTTTCCTGTGTGGGATGGGGAAGAAATTTATACCTTTCAAACGTAGACAAAGGTGCAAACTTCTTAACGATACCGGCAATATCGCTTCGGGGCTCATTAACCCCATAACCCTGAGCCAAGGAGATCCAGCAGGCTGTTGAGTCACACTAACTAAAAAGTCACAGAATCGGGCGAAAAGTGACGCTGTGTACAGATACACAGATACAAATGTTGAACACCCATTTGTGACATTCTTTCCCTCCTTTTAATTTGATTTAAGCTTTTAACAAGCTCACCCCACATTCCCTTTCTTTCTGCTTAAAAGTACTTTAGTTATGGCTTTATCAATGCTACTGTTAGTTAATTTGTGACAGATACATGAATACCCTAAAACTGTTATGCATTCTTTAAAATAAGCCACAAAGGTGTTTGACAAATGAGCCTCAGAAATGTTAAAAATTTTTGTACTAAAATTTGAAAAAGATGTGGCATGGCTTTTTTGTTCTTCTCTTTACTTTAAATTGAGCAACACAAGCCATCTATATTTAATTTTGTGTCTCAATTTGTATCGGCTGTAGGTTGCCATGTTGCTCTTGGAAAGCTATGGCATTTACCCATACTTTAACATCTTATATATGAAAAATTGAAATCCGACGACAGTATATATGAACAATGAGGGCAAGAAATGAAATAGAATACTGTAAAGATTTATCTTTGGATTATGTAGAGATCTACTCTTTTGTCATCTTTCGTGTTTGGATTTTGCATTTTTGGGGGAAAGCGAAATTTGTTGTGAGAGTTGAATAAGTAAGAAATGTTGTGGGAACATTAGTCTTTAGATTTAAAGGGGACACAGAAATCTTATCTTGTCAAATTGGAGAGCAAAAATGTGCTTATGTTCTTTTTCTTTTTTCCACATTATGCCTTGTTTGCTGATGTGACTGTGTGCACGTATCCCCAGGCAATCTCTGAGTTTGTGTTGTAGCCATACCCACCGAGGCCTGCAGGGGCCATGTCACCATACATCAGGGGATTGAGCTACACATCCGACTCGACAGTTTCTGTCTTATTGGGGTTATTTTCCGTTGAATACACATCTCTTATGTGTGCTCTTTTTTATTGTGATTGTCACTGTGTTGTTGTAGCAAGTTTGTCTTGAAAGTGTTGACTCTTATTGTTGTGATTCTGTTCCTTTGTTTCTTTTTTTTTTCTTGCTAAGTGTTGTACGTTGTTTGATTTTGTGTGTTCTTTTGAGTTAGATTTTTTCCTTTTATTTTCTTCTTCTTTTTTTTTCATTTTAGTTCCTGCATGTTGACACTCTCACAAGTTGATGTGGATTATACACATTTGAAGTTTTTGTCAATCATCAAGTTACACTACCTTTCCCTGTCACATAAATGTGAACAGAATATGAATGGGATGTAGACTAATTACGTATAACAGATATGATTTGTATTTATAATATTTTTTAGTTATGTAGTTTAAGGGAGTTCTTTTTCTTGATGCACTAAATGATATATGTACGTCAGTTTGCTTTTAACATATTGCATAATCAAAGGTATACATAACAATATTTGATATTCAGGTTTTGAATTCGGTTTTGCAGAGAAATATTTGAGTTTGGTGCGTGACAAGGAATGCATTTTTTCTGGAATAAGGGAAAGCATAGGACGTCATGCATAACATTCAAGGAAATTGACATGAATGATTCTGGTTACTGGTTTGAGGTTTGAGGACTGTGCGTGTACTATTTAGCTTCTCCACCATAAAGCTGTCATTGTAGACACAGTGTGTAGATTTAGATAGCCAGAATCAAATGATCAAATGATTAATGAATGGGTCACTTTAATCCATGGATTGATGTGTGATATTGTTTCTGTAAACAGAAAGCTCAAATGCTCTTAGATAATAGTGCTTAAATGGTGTATTAATTATATTTGAACAATTGGATTCAATTATGTATCACTGTATAACATTCCTGTCTGTATGAATGAATGAGTCTGATGGGGTGTAAGTTTCAGAGAATGATGTGCAAATCCCTGATCATCTGCAACTATTTCTTAATGAGTGCTACACACTGCACAGCTATTGATTTTTAACATTTTAAGGCTTTTAAATCAAAGAAATTTCAATTCTAGGTCCATGAGAAATTCAAGCTGTAAGTGTAATTAAATTTACTGTATATTTGTCCATTGGAAGGTGATGTTTGGCATAAAAAATTCTTTGTGTTTCAGGTCTCCCCCCCACCGTTTTATAATACTTCTCAGTTGTCGCATTTGCATAGAGTAGATACGAGGCAGGGTGGAAAAATATATAAACATTTAATATGTATGTTCAATTGTGACAAAAAGAAAAGAAATCCATCTTTTATTAATTATTGCAATATGAAAATGGAGATCAAGGCTGTCTTTTGATTTGAGCTTCTGTTTTCTTTTGCTTAGTTCAGTAGTCTCTACCTAAACAGTGTTCGGGAGGGCTCCAAACTGTGCGTTTACATGAACCTGTGCCAAGGGGGAAAGGGATGCAACTACCTTATTTCCTCAGTCTTCATTGGGAGGCCGCTTACACCAATAATGCGAAGAAACATGAGTGTTTTATAAAGGATTCCTCGATCGCGGTTATGACTACAAAAGACATTGAATGAGAGCTGGGGAAAAAGAAAGCAGAAAGATCTACCTGCTGCACTGATGTGCACTAATGTCCAGAACAGAAAAGAAGAAACTTGGTAATAGTCTTTTACTACAATTCGGTAAATGCATGGATGAAATCAGGCATTCTGAGACTTTTCTCTAGTGACTCATTTAACAAGTACGTTATAAGTTATTCAAGCGCAGCTGATTACTCAACTAGTCTATTATCCTATAGGCATATTAGTTACCTACAGCCTTCATGTGTGTTGTGCATCAAATTCATAGGCTTACCTAAACATTACACTCACCCAAACACCACTGAGAAACTTCTCTAAGTAGTACTCAAGAGTCAAAGTCGAAGACACATTTCTAGTGACCAATCAAAAGACATTTCAGTCACCCCTCCGAACACATCGCTCGCCCAGTACCTATGTGACTATGTGTGGTGGGTTAACGCTGGCCATCACTTTCTTTGTTCTGCATGAGGGGCAGTCTCGCCAAATATCCAGTTGTCTAGACATACCTTATTCAGCTGTGTAGGTGTTGTAGTGAAAATATCCCTTTGTCGAGCTTTACCTGTCGCCATGTTTTGCTGATGGAAGTATGCGTTTAGAAAAAAGGACCGTGTGTTTTTACATATATCTAAACATAATGAAATCGAAGAAACAGGCATTTTTTCCTCCAGTTTGGCAATCTTTATTGAATTTTGGTTTTTTTTGGCTCATCACGTTTCATGTCTGCTCAAAAACGCATTTCCATGTGAATTTTACTGAAAAATATTGGTCAATGGCACAAAATATGTAAATTTTCAGTTTTCAAGGACTCTCAAGCTATAGAAATGACCAAACTTTGGTGGCCATTTTATCGGTAATTTTACCTCTGAAACTAGGCTATCCCCACCACTTTCAGTCGCAAGTATCTCAACTTCTATTCAAGATAAATGATACTTTTTATTATAGAAAGCAAAGCAAATGATTAAGCTTTCAGATAAGACTAATAACTCCACATGCTAAAACATTGATGAGTGCCTGATTCCACCACGTTGTGGCACATATTACAGTGTAGTAAAAAAACAACCCAATATGTTCGAGCTGAGTGTGCGTTTAATTGGAGACTACTGCACTAACAGAATAGCCATAGAATGTGACAGGTCTTTTTAACAAATTCTAATGAAAAATAAACCTGCATCTATTTATGCTGTATATTGGTGATATAATAAATTGATTGGCTATTGTCATTTTACTACAATGTCGAAGTTTGCTTAATGAGGCATCTTTTCCTTTTGTCTATTCGTTGCAATGCTTTCTGTTCACACCAGAAGTGTTTGGTAATGGAGTGACTGTGTCGTCATCACCCAGTTTGTCAAGGAGGTAGCTGGTCCACTTTTACGCTAATTATTCTGCTTTATTGTTATTATTATTACATTGTGTTGTTATTATATTTATTTATTTTTATATCTTATGTGTGTTGCGGTTGTACATGATTTCTATAGTCACAGACATAATTCTGCCATGATTACCTTGATGATTAGTGTTTATTTAAGTTTTACTTTGAAATGGTGTTTTTTCTAGGGGTGTTTTTGTAGTTTGGCAGTTCTTGAGTTGAAGTGTTGATGGTGTTTTAAAGTCCGCAAATTAAGTTTTGTACACATTCTGAACTTGACTGTATGTGGACATGTAGTTGGACAGCACTGTGGCCAAGTTGGAAGTCGGAAAAAGTCTGTCATCGTTTATGTGAGGGTAAAAACTGACGTAAAGTTATGTGATGATCAGGTGTACTGAACAACTGTTGAAGTTTGAATTTTTTAAAAAGAGTATAGTAAAACTCATTGATAGAAGTTTCTACTCTTTCACAAGTCAAAATACTAAACCACACAATGAAATGTAGAAGTTGTCCATTGAGTCAGCAAATGTAATTTATATTATTTCATCTGCTTAGATTTTAAACATTATTTTCTGGTAAGACTGGTGTTTGTGTATGTCTTGGTATATATATATGTGGGGCCCTTTGATTTTTTTATCAATAAACTTTTTATTTTCACTTCAATTTGATTTAATCATGCAAATAACATTCATAATTTTCCATTAGCTCTAGTGTTAATCATAATCATACTCTGTAATCACCATTTAGCTTGAAAGCTTTTGTCAATATTTTCTTCTTTTTTTTTTTTTAGCAAAATACTAATCTGAATAAAATGATTTCTGTGCCTACATGGTCTTAGAATTGTTCTATTCGTCAACTTAATGATCAAGTTCATCTGTTGTGGTTATTAATTAAATATTAATTAAAATGACGTTTGGATCGTAAACCAGGAGACATAAAGTGGTCTACAGGTGAGCAGTGTAGTATCATTAGGCTACACATGTGGAGGTTGTGAGAGATCAGACTGGTTCAGTAGCAGCACCAAAGGCAGAAGTTATGTTAGGTAAGTAGGCTATAGGCCGACAGTGTGGTACAAGATCATGTAACCAAATGCTGAATGTGGATAATTTTTAAACGCTCTCTCTGCCATTTTCAGGCATGTGGTGGCCTGGTTAAGGGGCTGTTCAAATATAATCTTACACCTTTTTTGGGACTTTTTGACCCCCCCCCCCCCCCCCCCCCCTTCTTTCTCACACTTTTCTTACATTTGCGCCGCCCCCCCGCCCCCCGTAATATTACATTGTTCGCTTATAATGATAAAAATAATATGACATTTATATCGCGCAAATCCGTATAACAATCATTGCTGTATGTGCATTGCATAATGTTCATGAAAAACATGCATACACACATATACATGCACATAATAATGTATGCACTAAAAAATAATAGGTATCACGACTTGGTGGGATCAAGCGCTCGTCAGTTTTGATTTTGAGGCATACAAAGTTATTGATATCATCTTAAAGCCTGTCCATTTGCCTTCCTTTTGATGAAAACAATATTCGTCTATGCTGAATAGAAGTCGAAATATTTGTGATTGAAGGAGGTGGGTCACCTGATTTCAGAGGTAAATTTCGTGAGAAAACGGCCGCCAAAGTTTGATAACTTCAATAGCTTGAGAGTCTTTAAAACTGAAAAATCACAAATTTTGTGCATGTAATTTAATGAACGTTTTACAGTATGGACTTTAAAGGTGTTTAGCGCGGGGGAAAAAATTCATTAAAAGTTCCCAAACCTGCGGAAAAATGCCGGTTTTTTTCACTTTCATTATTTTGACGAGCGCCTGATTTCACCACGCTGCCTCACAATTAGAGTAAATCATTCAAGGAAAATATTGCATACACACTCTTTCTTACTAATAAAAAAGAAAAAATTGAGACTCATGTCTATGACAAAAGCGCTTTAATTTTAAAAAAAAAACAAGTTACAGTGGAATTCTGATAAGTCAGAACAACAAAAAAGTGTTGACTTTGAGCAAGATTGACTTTATCCATTGTACTACTGGCCATTGAAAATTGAAGATGACAGCTACAAAATTACAAAGTAGGCCTACCTGGTAATAAACAAGATGTAATCTCAATTTCAGAGAGTATAATTCTGAAGTTGTCACCAAAACAAGAGATAATGAAAGAACAAAGTACTTATGTACACCACTTGCTCAGGCAAAATATCTCTTCTTGAATGAATTCATCTTAGGATTTAACCCCAATTAATTGTTGACTTTACGAAAGGTTAACACTCAAGCGGTTGACTGTATCAGAAACACAATTACTTAAACTTAAACAAAGAAGGTAAGAAACGGGACCACAGTAAGGTGAGTTGAATTTAAGCAAGTTGACTTTATCAGGATTCCACTGTATCTCTGTTATTACTGATCATTTATGCTGGGAAAAAAGTGAAACTAGTTATCATCAACAAATGCAGATGTTCATCATGTCGAAAATATTTTTCCCCTCACAAAAGTGTAATATAAGTTCAAGCACCCCCCCCCCCCCTTTCTTACACTTTTCTTTCAGGAGCCAAACACCCCCCTCCCCCCTCCCAGGCGTAGGATTATATTTGAACGGCCCCTAATAGTTCTCATGGGAGAGAGCATGAATAAAATAAAATATACGTGTAGTATAGACCAATACAACAACAACGGAGTGGCTAGCCCTGCCTAGCCTGTGGCTTCTGCACCGTGGGGATCTCTCATTCTCTGCGCATGTTCCGTGTTCTGGCCCTTGTGGATTTCTCTCTCTCTCTCTCTCTCTCTCTCTCTCTCTCTCTCTCTCTCTCTCTCTCTCTCTCTCT